TGCTGCTAACCCTGAGACTTCTTTTGATGCAAAATTATGCTGGATGGCAAAAAAGGTTAACAAAGAGCAATTGCGTGTCTATGCGTCACTTTTCTAGGCTGCTTGGCACTATCGCAATGAACATATTCATGAAAGCACTCGTGATATACAGGCTGCTGGTTTTGTGCGATTAAATGCAGATTATAGGCTTTATAATTCTTGACTGAGGGGTGTGAGAGCTGCTGTAGGATGTCAATCTGATGCCTTGTGGTCTCCTCCCTTAAATGGGATTGTAAAGCTCAATGTGGATGCACATATTATGAATGGCAGGGGTGTTCAGTTTGGGGCAATTGTTCGTGACACTGAGGGCTCTCTTCTTGCTGTTGCAGTGAAGAAGTATGATGCTAGCTGGTCCCCCAAGTTGGCAGAGGCAGGTGCAATGAGATATGGAATGGATTTGGTCCGTAGGCTGGGGTTTGAGAAGGTGGTGCTGGAAAGCGATGCGCTTAGGGCTGTTCGTGCTATCCAAACCAAGCAGACTGGTTGTGCCCTCATTTTCCTTCTTTATGATGATGTGGTTAGGATGAGCAATAGCTTAACTTTCTTTTCTTGTAATCATGTTAAACGAGCGGGGAATACGGTTGCCCACTTCGTTGATAGATGGGATACTAGTATGTCTCAAGAACGTGTTTGTTTGAGTTCTTTTCCCCAAAGTCTTCAAACTTTGGTGGACCTTGATTTATTATAATTTTGCTCGTTTGGCTTCAAAAATAAAAATAAAAAAATAGTTTTCAAACAATGGTTGTGTATACTATACAAAAATATAAAGTATAAAGATGTTTACATGGTGAATATTTTGTGTATTGGGTTATATATTGATGCAATTAACAATTGTAAGTTTTAAAACATGATTGTAGTAGTGTTAATATTAAAGAGCAAAATTGCACCTTTTAAAAAATAACAATTGATCAAGATGTGTTATTGTCCTCATAATAATTATCTAATATAAATATTATGGAGCATAATTTTATTATTTGATAAATACATGCATGTTATTGAGATTTAGGGTTTGTTCACTTCAGCTTAATTTCAGTTTAGTTCAGCTCCAATCAGTTCATCTCTTTATTTCCTTCTCTCATAAAATATTCATTTCAACTCAGTTCAGTTCCAATCTGTTTCAGTTTAGCTCAATTCAATAAATGTGAACAAATCCGAGCATAATTTCCCTTCTATAAAAAAAAGAAAAAAATTGATCGAGAGTTTCTATTTTATTTTTTACTACAATATTAATGAATGGTGTGCCTTATAATAATTAGTTATCTAACAATAATATAAATTTTAAACAATGAAAACATAATTAGCAATGCTAGTTGAAAATGTCTTTACAAGATGTAAACAAAGAATTGATGTCCTTATATTTGTTGGGAGATGTAGCAAAATTTCAATTTCACATTTACATAAACCCTTGTTGAAGGAGGATGGTAGTAGGTGTTGTTAAACCCATTTGTATGTGATAACATTAAGTCATTACCACATCATGATCTTGTAAGAGAATATATACTCCCACCGTCCCACAATATATTTTCTATTTTCCTATTTTAAAGACCCAAAATATTGTTCCTTTAAATAGTATGTAAAGCCTATTATAGCCTTATTTTTTTTTACTTTATTCATTGAAATTCCTAATTTGCCCTTAATTTAGCCACTATCATTGTACTTTTTTCACTTTATCTCTCTAACTTTTGTCTATAATTGTACTTTTCTCTTTTTTCCCCTTAAATTATCCACTTATTAGCTTGTAATTTTGTCTAACTTTTGTCTACCTTTTTCCACTTCACCTCTTATTTCATAACTACCGTGAAAAAAATACAATAGGAACTATATAATGGGACGGAGGAAGTATAAGATATGCATGGTTTTGTCAGATCACAAAGAAATGTGATTGACATGTATGCATCATAGATCTCAAGAGGATTTTATCCATTTGAATTATTGGAATCCCTTAGGGTAAGGCATACTGATTTTGGTTGTCTCCGTCATTTCAGCAACATTCATAGACTTTTAATTGTATGTTAGAAAATACCTTGCACAACACGAAACATCATCACCAACTTCCCTCGTTGTAATAGCGTAAAGATAAATACCGTTAATGACCTTAATTAGTATTGTGTAAGGGCTTCTTTGCCAATATTAATTATGTCACTTTACATGTCCATTCATTTGTTGTAAACTCAGTTTAATTACTCCCTCCGTGTGTATTCTTTTGTTAGAAAGAGATACGATACAACACTGAGTAATTTAATTATTATAATGCATTATTTGCTTAAGTTTTTACTCTTATTCAAATTTAATAAGATCTAAATATCATTACAAATGGAAATTAATGGTTATATATGAATAATTTTCGCATATGAGGGACATATATAATGAATTTTATTATGTCGTGCATCGTACGGGGCTTATCTAGTTTAAAGTAACAAATTAATTGTTGAAAATAAGTTTACAATGTAAAGTCCTTTGCCAGAAAATAGAGATATACGTCGTGTTTAATTTATTTTTTTTAGCCTTTTCACTTTCACGCTGCACCTATCTGTCCTCCATTGAAGCAGCTTCCAAGCTTTCTCTTCTCCATCGAAGCAGCTTCAACGGTAAAATGATTTTATTTTTATTTTTTAATGCATTTGATTATTATTTTCACAATCTAGTCTAGTCTCACACTATCATTGATTTGATTTCGTGTATAAAAATTAGGGTTCTTCGTAAGTGGATTATGGACAATTGATTATTGTTACTGAAATTATTAAAGATTACTTCGAGTGATTTTGTTGCAAGATTTCTTTGTACAATGTACAATGATACGCTTAAGCTAGAAGAATTTATTTTATTTTTTAAAAATGATTTTTCGAGCTAAATTTTATAACTGAATCAAATTTAGTTGTGATGTGTGCAATCATAGTCGTTTCTAATATTTTGGTGGCTCGGGTCAAATGATAATACTTTTGTTGAATAAATCATTTGTTCCTACAACTATAAATATTTATGTAGTTTATTAATTCATAAACAATTTTATGTATTTGTTAATTACTTCATCCGTTATTTTAATTGCATTATTCACACTAATATGCACACTCCTCTTTTAAATTTCTTTTGTGATTTATCCGGTAAAATATCATATATTTAAATATTATATTTTAAATAGTTATCTATATATATTATAAAAAAAAAACCTAGCACACTAACTCAAAAGCTGACACGTGTCCCTGTTTTAGATTTTTTATTATTTTTATTCTATTTATTGTTAAAATGTATATAATTGTCAAAGATTCTATTGATTGCATATTATAAACAATCTTCATAATCAATAATCTCTGATATATTTTACACATTAATATTAAATATATTACTTAAGATTGTATTATAGTTTAGTAAAGATATACTTAGTAAAGATTATCACTCAAATACACTAATTTTATAAATTATTTTATTTATAAAATATATAACATAATATACTAGCTCCACTTTAACCTTAGGAATTGTAAATGGATAATACTCGGGAAAGCGAGGGTAGTATTAAGTAGCAAATTAATTTTGTAAAAGATGTTGAATAATATTTTTATACTTTAATTATAGTAATTAATTTTTTATCCTACATTCATAATCTTAAGAAATAAATTTTTTTATTTATATTCTTGTATGGAACTCAATATAATATATACGTATTGAACATATAGATCACTCATTTATCACTCAAGTATACTATTCCTTAAAATTGATTACTATTATTTAACAATAACCAGCCCTTAGTCCCTTAATTTATTAATAGAGTTTATATTCAATTGATTTTCTTTTTTGTATATATATATATGTGTGTGTGTATACATATATATGTATATATATATATATATGTATGTATATATATGTATGTATATATATATATATACATATATATGTATACATATATATATATATATGTATATATATATACATATGTATATATATATACATATATATATATATGTAATTTAAATGTTAATACTGTATTTTTGGCTTCGTTATTTTATACTCTCCACCATATTCCGCCTTCTAAAATATAGCTTATTTTCCCTTAATTAAAAGGTCTCAAAATCTTGTGTAACTTTTTTTTAAGTAAATAGAATATGAAATAAAAAGAAATACAATTATTATAAAGATAATATATAAGATTAAGAATAATATTATTATATTTGTATTATACTAATATTCAAATAAAAAAAATTAGTTAAAAAGGGTGGGGATTTTTGGAGGGAAAATACAACACCAGGAAGTGACACGTGTCATTCCTGGTGTCTGTTTTAATATTATGTTATTGATTATTAATAGAGGGATAGATTTGGAAAATATTTTTTTACAAATTAAAAAAGTAGGTGAATTAAAAATATCATAATTATATGATTTGGTGTATATTTTGTGTATAAATTATAGTAGGTAACATGAGATAGATTAAAAAAAAAAAAAAAAAAAAAAAAAAAAAAAAAAAAAAAAAAAAAACAGGAAAAGGGGGAATTTTGGAGGGAAAATACAGCACTGAAAAATGACACGTGTCATTCCTGGAGGCTATTTTAGTATTATGTTATTGATTGATGATTGATGATTATTGATTGATTAACAAATTCCTATAGTTGATAAAAAATTCGGACTGGGTCGAGCCTTAACATAATATCTCGTGCCAAACCCTGAAAAAATATAACGGACTTTTCGGGTTTTTTTGGGCCAAATTTGAGTATTTAACTAAAAATATTTTTTTAGGATTCTCCAAACCTGCCATATTTTCGGGCCAGACCTAAAGTTGATCACCTCTACAAATTCCGTCCCTAATTTCGTACGGACTAATACACTACCATTAGGCATTAGCGCCAAAACGTGAAAAAATTCCTAAGAATCCTAATTTGTATAGAAACTCACGAGTCAAGAATCCAAAACGTGTCTTTAAAAAAAACAATCAAAACGTGAAAAAATTCCTAAGAATCCTAACAGAAACGACAATGTGTTTGAACGAATCTGATTTTGAAATTTCCCGCGAAATTCTTGACGAATTTGTTCGTGTTGCCAATGAAGTCGTCGATGCTGCCGGAATTGTGGTGAAGATCTTCTTTAGGAAACCTCGATCAATTCAAACCTTTTATAAGTGCGACGAAGGTATTCTATGATTTGAATTTCGCTGTTTTTGCGCTTTAAGTTTTAATTGATCAATTTGGTTTATTTTGGTTTTATTAGATGGATGTATTGTTGAGCAAACCACTACTACTGTTCTAGCAACTGAGGATGCTTTAATTTATGTGATTTTACAAAATTTTCCTGATCATTTAATGTTAGTGATCGATTTTAACCTTGTTTTTGGAAATTGATTGAGTTGAATTTGTTGATTAAATATTTGAAAACTCGATTTTGAATCGTAAGTTTTGGCGAGGCGAGGGGTTGGTTTCCGGAGAAGAGGGATGCTGATTATGTTTGGGTTTTAGACCCGATTGACGGCACTACCAGCTTCAAAAACGGTAAGATAATCATTGCGTAATTATAGTACTCTTTTCTTTTACGAGTTTTATTGTTCTTTGAATTTATTGTTTTTTTTATTGCCTTTTACAGGTTTTCCTTTGTTTGACACGCTCATCGCCCTTCTCTAAAGAGTAAGCTGGTATGACTCATTCGCTCTCTAGTTACGGCTAGTATCCATGTTGTTTTTGTGTTTTGTGCACAATTAATTGTTAGTAGATTTGTAAATGCGTCATACTATATGATTGAGAAGAGTTTTGTGCGCAAAGGACTTGTTAGTAGAATTTTAGATGCATCATACTGTTTGTTTTAGATGTCACTATGATGAAACTGTAATTAAAAAATTTATCTTACAGTGAAAAATATTGTTACTAATCTCATTATTAACAATATTTACTAATTAGTGCTTATAAACTTGCTTATAAATAGATTATTATTAATTATTTATCATTCATAAACGAATAATATTTACACTAATATTTTAATTACTGTTGTTAAATATGGGCGTCCATATTAAAATAATATTTATAGACGATTATTATTTTAATAAGCTTTAAAAACGGTTATTTACAACAATATTTACAATAATATTTTAATATTTACTAAAAGTAATTAAAAAATTATTCCGAATAAGATCATTGAATTTTTTAAAAATGATTTTTCGAGTTTGATTTTATAATTGAATCAACTTTAGTTGTGATGTGTGCAATCATAGCTGTTTCTAATATTTTGGTGGCCTTGCGCAAATGATAATACTTTTGTTGAATAAATCATTTGTTTCTACAACTATGAATATTTATGTAATTTGTTAATTCATAAACAATTTTATGAATTTGTTAATTATTTCATCCGTTATTTTAATTGCATTATTCACACCACTATACTCGCTCCTCTCTTAAATTTCTTTTGTGATTTATTTGGTAAAATATCATATTTTTAAATATTATATTTTAAATAGTTATCTATATACTATAATAAAACCTAGCACACTAGCTCCAAAGCTGACACATGTCCCTGTTTTAGTTTTTTAATTATTTTTTTCTGTTTATCGTTAAAATGTATATAATTGTAAAAGATTCTATAGATTGCATATTATAAACAATCTTCATAATCTATAATCTCTGATATATTTTACACATGAATATTGAATATTTTAGTTAAGATTGTATTACAGTTTAGTAAAGACATAGTTAAATATATATTAAAAGTAGATTATCACTCAAATACACTAATTTTATAAGTTATTTTATTTATAAAATATACAACGTAATATACTACCTCCACTTTAACTTTAGGAATTGTAAATGGATAGAACTCGGGAAAGCGAGGGTAGTATTATGTAGCAAATTAATTTTGTAAAAGATGTTAAATTATATTTTCATACTTTAATTATAGTAAACAATTTTTAATCCTACATACATAATCATAAGAAATAAATTTTTTATTTATATTCTTGTATTCAACTTAATATAATATATACGTATTGAACATATAGTTCTCTCATTTATCACTCAAGTATAATATTTCTTAAAATATACTATATATATATTATAATATTTAATATTCTATCTTTTTCATAGAATGTAATATATTAAGTAGAATATTATTAAAAGATATAGAGTGATGCATATAATTTATAGAAAAGATATATTTATCCTATATTTTACCACTCTATGTATAAATCTATGTATTAACACCTCTTACAGTTTGGTAAGAGATTAACAAGTGATATTTTATTTACAATGATAGTTAATACTAGATTATAATAGCTACAAATTATAAGCATTCTTGACCATTTTATAATGTTAGAAAATTTTATAAATTATATTAGTACTAAGTGTGCATAAAAATGATTATATTTAACTATCACATATAAATTTGGAAAATTTGCCAATTACTACCGCGTATTAATGCGTATTTGAAAATTACTACCGCGAAATAAAAAACTTGTGACTTACTACTGTAAAAACTTCAAAAAATTTGCGATTACTACCAATCTCCATTTTAAATCGTTTATGACGTCACTAACCCACTTTAAACCCATGGTTAACCTATTTAACCACCTAAAAATAAAAGAAAAATAAAAAAGGCCTAACCCATGGTTAACCCCCCCAACTACCCAATTCAATTTCCCTCCTCTTTCTCTCTCATACCACACAAAATATTTGCAGCCTCTTGTTTTGTTCTCCGCATCAAAGTCTGGACAAGCTACAAACCTCCTACCAGGGTTTTCTTTGTTCCAGGATTTCATAATTGAAGTGTTCAACCCACATTTGCATTTCCAACCCTTCCACCTTGCCCCCCTAAACATCTCCCTGTTGAGTCAACAACAAAAACATAAACTTTTATCACTTATTATCTTTAAATCTTAGTTTAATTCAAAGAAGTATAAAATACCCCTAAATTTGTCAATCAAAATCGCACTCCAAAACCCTAAATTGCAAATTCCAGAAATGTCGTTAAACCCTAGAATTCTAACACAATTAAACAACACTTTTGGGAGCGAAATTAAACAAATTAAGAATTTACCTGAATCGATTTGAGGAAACCTTCGAGGTATTAGTCTTCAATTTTGAGAAAGAGCAGCAATTTGGAGAAATTTCTAAGTTGCTCAGTTTTCTAAATTAGGGAAAGAGTGAGGTTTAGTTATGTTAGTTGGGGGGTTAACCATGGGTTAGGCCTTTTTTATTTTTCTTTTATTTTTAGGTGGTTAAATAGGTTAACCATGGGTTTAACGTGGGTTAGTGACGTCATAAACGACTTAAAATGGAGATTGGTAGTAATCGCAAATTTTTTGAAGTTTTTACGGTAGTAAGTCACAAGTTTTTTATTTCGCGGTAGTAATTTTCAAATACGCATTAATGCGCGGTAGTAATTGGCAAATTTTCCTATAAATTTGCTAATAAACATATATAAAAGTATATATAAATTAATAATATGAGGCATGTAGGCGTATATGTACCACCTATTAGAAAACTATAATTTTCATTTTAAAATAAATTTTGATACTAATTTTATATGTGTGTAGCCAACCATCATAGAGTTACTAAATTAGTGTTATAGTGGTAACCCAATTACTGTTATAGTTGTTACTTTGTCAATGTTGTAGTTTGTTATTTAAAGGTTACTAAATAAGTATAATAAGACTCTGTTCGCTTCACCTTAAACATATAATATTTGGTAAAAATAAGGACATTTCGTGAAAAACTACCTTATAAAACACTTTTTTTGCGAGAAACTACCTAATAAAAAAAATGTTGTAAGAAACTACCTTATAAAAGGATAAATGTTGTAAGATACTACCCTTGGTCGAAAAATCATCGTTGAATTTTGTTTTCCGGGGTTGATCACGTCACGTGCCAATTAAGAAAAAAGGAGGGAAAAGGTGAAGTAAAAGTCACGTGATTGAAACGTGATGTGGTCAACGCCGAAATTTGAAAGTCAACGGTGACTTTCCGATTAATGGTAGTCTCTTACAACATTTACCCTTTTATAAGGTAGTTTCTTACAACATTTTTTTTATTAGGTAGTCTCTCGCAAAAAAAGTGTTTTATAAGGTAGTTTTTTTACAAAATGTCCTAAAAATAATTTCATTTTAGTGTAAATAAGTACAATTTGGGAATTATATATGTGTGACATAATAATTTCGATGCACGGTAGTAATAATTTTTTTTATAATATATATGTGTGACATAATAAATAACCGAGGGGTTACTTGATTAGGGAATTATTACTACAATGATGATATTAAATAACCGTTCATAATAAAGCCCAAAGATAATAAATAACCGTCCATAATTCGGAATTATTATTAAAAATCGTCCATAAACGAATGATAAATAATTCGGTTATTGTTACTAATAGTAATCCCGAATTATGGAATAATATTTACCAATATTTACTAATAGTAATTAAAATAATATTTACAGTGATATTTGTAACAATATTTGTAAATATTTTTATTTTTCTATAAAAATAAGGAAAAATTGCTCCCATTAATCTGAACTTTGCCTCGTTCGCCGAAATTAATCCCAACTTTTGTTTATTATCTATCACTCCCAACTTTAGGGGGTATTAATTTTTATTGTACCCAAATGACTTGCAACTGGTAAAGCAGGTAAACCTTTGTGTGTGTGTTTTTTTTTGCACACGTGTCAATATGTAATTGGTTGAGAAAAATAAAGAAAATTAAAAAAAATTAAAGAAAAATGTAAAAAAAAAAAATTAAGAACAACCCAGCAGCACCCCCACCACACCCACCACCACACGAACACCACCGACGCACATCAAACCACCACCACCGTTGGCCAAAAATGGCCGATATTGGCCACAAATGGCCAAAAATGGCCGATGTTGGGGCTGAATACCCTAAACCGGTCGATTTCGGCCGTTTGTGGCCGATTTTGTGGCTAGGCGTCGCCAATTTCGTGGCTGAGCTTCACCAATTTCGTGGTTTGTGTCGCCGATTTCGTGGCAGGGATGCTGGGGAGGAGTTTTCGAGGGTTGCTACGCTGCTAGGGAGGGGTTTTCGAACGCGACTGGGCTGCTGGGGAGGGATTTTTGGGGGTGGGGGAGGAGTTTTTGGGTGTGGGGGAAGGGAAGGGGTGGCTGGGCGCGGTTTCCGGCGGTGGGGGAGGGGTTTTCGGGGGTGGGCGCGAATTTCTGGCGATGTGAGGGTTGTGATGGAGTGTATTCCGAGAATGGGGGTGGTGGCGGCTGGGTTTGGTAGTTTTTTTTTAAAATTTAAATTTAAATTTTTTTTCTTTTTTTTAAAAAAATTTCTTTTGGACCTATCACGTGTTGACACGTGTTTAGGTCACCTACTACATCAGATTGGATGACCTGTTGGGTGCAATAGAAATTAATACCCCCTAAAGTTGGGAGTGATAGATAATAAACGAAAGTTGGGATTAATTTCGGCGGACGAGGCAATGTTCAGATTAAAGGGAGCAATTTTTCCTAAAAATAATCGTCCATATTAAAATAATAACCGTCCATAAACGAATTTAATGCATTAGTGCTCTAAATTAGTGCTTATAATTAGATTATTATGATACAAATATTACAATGATATTTGTAACAATATTTGTAACAATGTTTAATTAGTAACAATATTTACTAAGATTGATAT